TTAAAATTGTAAGAATGGATAATTTTCTGTCAAATTATTAAATTCCTCCTAAACAAAATTATTCAGCTATAATGAAATGCACAGGGCAGCACAGAACACACAAAATTCAAAATCCCTCCTAAAAACAATTATTCAGCAATAATTGGCACAAAAAAAACTCACTTCCTCTCTGGAAAACTGTTGGTACATGCATGGCACAAAAAAAACGGTTGGTGGGAGGGAGCTGAAGAACCTCAGAAGCTGTCATATCATGAAACCCTGATGTAAGTTGGGGGTTTTTTTAAATAAAAAAATCGTCGTAAGTTGAAACCGACATAACATGGGCCCGTCGTAAGTCGGGGGCCCACTGTAACCTTAATTTCAGGAGATGGTTGTCTGAAATTCTCTAGACCCGCTGGTGGTTTTTGAAAAAACTTCAAAATCGCCAAAAAATTTATAATGCTGTACTGTAAGTTGAATGAAAAACAAATGTACGTCGTCAGAGAATAATTCATCAATAATAACAGAAATGTGATCCCATTCTTTCTTCTTGAAAAAATGCTTGAAGTCAATTCATTTGAAAAGTTTTTTCGTGCACCAAGAGATAACAGTAGTCCAACTCATGACAGATTCTTTATGGAGAAATTTTCCCACCGTCCTGCAAAAAATGCTTAGAAATTTTAAGGGTTGGTAAGGCTCATCGTCCTTGAACCACAACGTGAAGAACTATGATGCACATCCATGATTCAGTCTCCCAAGCACTGTATTTCTCCAACAATAAACGATCCCGCGAAATATTTTTCACATTTTACAGGTTTGAAGAAAATGTTCAAGCGCCGGAAAAACCGGAATAAATCGAATAGCTAATATATAAGAAGGACGAATCTTTCCCGCAAATCAATACTGTTTATACAGCCTGGTACCAGTCCACAGACCATTCGTTGAAGATCACCGGTCTGGATTATAAAAATAAAAGCATCACCTTTGGTTGTGCTCAGTTTCCGGGAACCTGCCTTCAAATTTCGAATAATCAACCAAACCTGTCGCGGTAGGTTTACTCGTTTACTTCATCGGCCATAACGTTGGTCAAACAGTTAAGAAGATGCTTCCGGGCTTTTCTGGTCAGTGGAGGGTTGAGGGAGCTGTAGGGTGCTGGTGGTGGAATACAGGTGTGCCAGGAAAGGGTGCATAAAGCCTGGTGGTGCTGGGAAAAACGGCGCGAGGAGTCCTTGGCGTTGCGCCATTTTCATTCGAGCCGTCATCTGCTTCTTCCATTTTGTGCGCCTGTTTTGAAACCAGGTCTTGATCTGGACCTCGGTTAGGTTCAGGGTCTTGGACAGGTCCATCCTTTTGCTCACGCTCAGGTACTTGTCTTGCTGTGCGTGAAAATCGCTTTCCATTAGAATTGATGCAGTGCATTAAAAGGCAATCATATTTACCCAAGTACCACGCAAATCTTTTTTTCTGTAAGCTAAGCAGAAAGGTGGGGTGCGAGCAGTATGCCCCTAAGATTACCATTAATTTACCTTTCTGTGATTATTGTAATTACATTTCTTGAAAAATGGCAGCATACAAGGTTTCTTTAATGACAGCATACAAGGTTTCTTCAATGACAGCACGCAATAAGGTTTCTTTTAAATCAGCTTCTACGTTTGATTAAAACTTATTCAGTAATTTGAATGCCACATTTCTGGGAAGTAAAACTTTTAAAAAATGAATTCAGGTGCAAAGCTGAGGAATGTGTACTGAATTTATATTCTTATTCAAAAGCTTCTAGAATTAACTTAATAAAGCTAACTTCTGCAACCAAAAATGTTATTGGCCTAATTTTGCGGGTTATTGAGAAAATCTAGTTTCATATTCTTCATGAGAATTTACCGTGAGATCAGAAAATTCAGATGTAATTGGTGCATCAAGAGTGTCCCTAAGTCAAAATGTCGCTAAGCTGAGTCTAGTTTTCCATTCGACTTACACTATCCTGATGTATACAGTATATCCTTCTTAATCAGTGTTTTATGGAAGAAGTATTCATCAGAACTCCATGAAAAGCACTGAAAAAAGTGGTCTGCCAATATATTGAAACTGATTCAATTAAAATCTTTCAACTCAATAATGACATATGGAGCATTGATTATGGCACCTCTGTACAGTACATTTAAATTTTGGTATTATCTGTGAATAAAAATAGAATTTCAGTCAAGAATAGAGAAGGAAGTCCCTCTATGCAAGAAATAAATTTTTAGAATTACCTAAATGGATTGTAAACTGATTAGAAAAATGCCAAAGAACTTTTTTACATAGATCTTAGGGTTGGAAATACCTGTCTCTTGTATTTTGGCAAGAAGCTTATTTGAAATTTTAGCACACAATGCCTGCATGTCAAGTCAGTGTCTGCATGTTTTGGGCCTTTTTAATGGGTTTTTATAAGAAAATAGGCGTCCATATGTTGAATTGTATGCATGCTGTCTATAGGTGTCCGCATGTAGGGGTCTCACTGTTCTTTTTCTATTTTTAAAAATGAAGAGCGTTCCAACTGAGCATGAAAAATAATGTTCTTGAGGGAAGTCCGGCTCAAAACAAATGCATCTTGTAAAATGCACAAAAATACACAATTTTTAAAATTGAAAGCCCCGTTTCCGCAAATTACACGCATATAGCATGATGATGAAGAACTTGTTATTCGTCAAACTCATGTGTGCGAAAGAAAACACAGTCATTAATTTCCAGTACTACAGTATACTGCCTTCGCAAACAGAAAAACCTTGGATATTCATCTTTGAATAACTAGCTTTTTGAGCTACAGTATATAGCTACAGTACTAACCTTGAATTCAGCCTCCAAGCGTTCCAACTGCTTCGCACTGTAGGCTTGGCGGGGTTTCCGGTCGATCCCCGCTTTCCTGGCCCTTCTTCCTTGGGGTTTTGGGGCTGTGTGCGAAAAGGAAGAAATCCGCCAAATTTTGTCACAAGTACCAGGAGTCGGGAAAGAAAGGAACAGGGGCAGTAAAACCCGAGGTGAGAAGGCGATTAAGTGCCTCGTGTGCACCTTTAGTAACGGAGTTTGCTGAACTTATTCTTGTTCTTGCGTGGACATTCACGAAATTCACGAATTTCTTGAAGAAAAGCTGTAAGCAGGCATATCCTGCTTCAGATGTAAAACATGCTGCGTGTTTGAAACAACCTTAACACACATCTGTATTCAGCCCAGAAATGCATGTACAAAAATATGTTTTCATCAAATTTCCTGAAAGTTTTGGTTTTCATAAAGGTTCCGAAAAAGCAGATTAAACCTAAAAAATGTTCACAAGTTCTGGAAATTTACACTTCGATACAGGTTTTGCTGAAATTTCCATGCACTGAACATGACTGCCTCCACATCCACCTGAAAACTCTTTTTTCCTGTGAGCTGTGGCTTACTTCAAGTTTGTTGAAGCTGATTAAGCCTCTTGAAGCCTTAGTTTATTTGTCAATTTGTCACGGCTTCCTTCAATTGTGTGCTTCTACCCAACAGTGGAGGATATTGTCTGATATTTCCTTGACCCAAGGAAAGTATCCCATAAAAACACCTCATTGCGCACTGGAAGGACAATAGCAAAGGAGAGAAAGTTGAAAATTAACTAAACTTACCTGCACCTGAGGTAACCTATTAAAAAATACCACCAGGCGAGAACAATGTTTCCCAATCTTTTTGGGCCTGTGGATTGGCAAATTTCCAAATTCTTTTGCAGACAGACAAATATTCGAAAAATGTTCTGCAGACTGGCGAAGTTTCATAAAATTTTTACAAACTAAAAAAGTTTTTCTTGAAAGACTTTATGGCTGGTATTTGAAATTTTCAAAAATTAAGTCAAGAACCAATGAAGCGCCTATAGCAGAATGTCTTTGAAATTTAGAAAGGTGAACTTGAAGAATGGTTTCTCAGAATGAAAAATTAAGATACCTGTAATTGATTTTAGCAGGAGAAAATTTGCCAGAAGCAATAATAGAAGAAAAGCAAACTTTTACTTTTCATCAGATTATTTCAGCTGACATTGTATTTCTGAAATTTCAGATAAAAATACTGTAACAGACTTCATTGCTAATTTGAATAAATTTATTATGCTGACGAAAATCTCTTATAGACTCATCTCATGGACTGAATTTCTCATTTGCAGAAAAAAATTCCGTGGACCAGCACCAATCTGCAGACCATGGGTTGGAGAACACTCACCAAGAGTCTTGAAAGATTTATCCAAAAATTACCAGTAAGTACGTGTGAAAGCTGAAAGCCAAATTATCAAAAACATCCCCATAAATGAAATCCTCCTGGCTTGCCAGAAATAATTTGTAAATGTGTGCAGCATATTTGAAATTGTTTAACAATCTATTGAAAATGTGCACCAGACCTAAGCAATTTCAGTTCACTTCTGTTGGTGTGCAACAGAACCAGTCTTGTGAGCCATTTTTTGAATGGGTCACAAAGCCTCACCAAAAGTTTTTTTTTATGGCAAAGCTCACTGAGCCTCACTCAAGTTCAAAGAAGTGCGGCATAACTGCTTTCGTTTTCATTCAATTACCCAGTTTAGAGACAGGAAAAAAATGTCAGGAATAATTCAGTAGATTTCTTTCTGAACCACACCAGGAATCTCCCCACTATAAAAACATCCCTTCCTGCTCTGGAAAAAAAAAGTGGGAACAAGTTGCCCAAGTGCTCAAGAAGTGAACACTTAACAATGTATTAATTGGAATTCATCTGAGCAAACCAACCTATCAATAAAGTGGAATTCAATTCCCATTTTTTAAACTACAGCCAAATGACAGTCTCAAGCACTAAAAAAGAGCTCCTCTGCAAAGGGTTGAGTCCTTCAAGATATATCTTTGAACTCTGTTGATGGCTGAACTTCACTTTAGCCAATTCATTTGTCTGCTGGGATCCAATGGACACACAACACTGTCTTTGCATCATGTTGTGAACCTTTGTTGGAAAAAGTCTCTAGTATTTTCGGAAATTTTTTACAGACCTGGGTGAAACAAAATCTATTTAAGTTATGTGTCTGTTGGGCATTTTTTGTGGTATCTCTGCATGAAGTATTTAAGTTATTATACTTATTAACCACTGTATCGAGTACTGTATATGTTTACATTGTATTCTTGACTCACCATAATTCCTCTTAGTCAGGAAAACATACTCATTTGCATTGAATACACAGCCATTCCATTAAACATACCAATGTGAAAACTCTTTGGCAACAAGGCATTCATGCTTTGTCATGGTTCTCTGTTAAGAAGAAAAAATAATAATTTTGAAGAAAGGATGTTAGACCAAAACATGCTTTTTTGCTCAATATAGGAGCATGCTGTACCTCCTTCATATGTCACATTTGTATCACATTCCAGTCGGCATTCCCTTAGAAACATGGCCTTGAAAAACTTCCAAGCTTAAAGGCATTCCCTCTCAAATCTCCATAACTCAAATTTTCCGGGTGATCTTTTTGCTATTATTTTATTGACACATAAAAGAGGAAAAAATTTGAAATAGAACTTGATGTATTTTGAAAGGAATGGAGGGTTAGTCAAGTATATGAACCCTTGTTTAGAGGTTCTGCATCCTCTCAAGTTGTAAAGAAAAAAATAAGGATCAGTTACAGTTTCCTGTAATTTTTTTTTCTTTCTCCCAACAAAAGTGCTTGTTTTCTTAGCTGAAAATATCCATATATAACTGTGATTTTTGCTGGTCCATTGAAATTCGACTGTAGTTTTTATTTTCTTTATTTTTGGTCCTGTATTGTATAGTCTTTCTCACATTGAGTATTTTAAATTTAACCGATTCTGGGGAGAACTACTTCTTGGTATTTACTCAGATGAGAACATTGCTGGAATCGTCCAGCTTATCATCAGAACGACTCAGAAGTCAGAATGCGTACAAATAGCTCCGTATGCAAATTTTGGGACGCATTCCATTGAGACGACCCAATAATCGATTCTGATTATCGATTAATTTGGATGATTCTGGCGAATGCGCCCTGTTTCTATCTCGAATCTTCTGAATTTTATAGTACAAACTGCTCAAAGTTTTGAGAATCGCACCTTCAAAGACAGCTGAGGCAGAGCTTCACTTCAATTGATGCATTGGTTGAATTTTTTATTGCAAAACGCAGATGAATAAATCACCGAAATACCGGAGGGCATTGTTGCCCAACCCATGGTCCGCAGACCGACAGCACCAGTCCACAGAAGCTTTTTTGACAGTCTAAGAGAAATTTTCTTCAGCATAATAAATTTACCAGAATTAGCAATGAAGTCTGTAATTTTTATCGTAAATTTCTGAAATACAATGGCAGTTGAAATTATCTGATGAGGAATAAAAGTTTGATTTCCTTCTATTAAGGCTTTTGACAAATTTTCTCCTGCTAAAATAAATCATCTTAATTTTTCATGTTGCTGAGAATCCATTCCTCAAGTTCACCTTTTTATTTTTTGAAGACATTCCACTATAGCTGCTCCATTGTTTCTTGACTTCAATTTTTCAAAATAAGCATAAACGTTTTAAATACCTGCCATCAAGTCTTTCAAAAAAATTTCTAGCCTGGAATAATTGTATGAAACTTTGCCAGTTTGCAGAATTTTTGTTTCAATTTTCCAGTCCGCAAAAACATTTCATGGAAATTTGTCGGTCCTTGTGTCCAGAATAGTTCTGGAACACTGATGCAGAAGATCCCCTTTTTTCCTTAAAAATACTTTTCAAATGCAACATTATCCATTATCACATGGACACGCGAAGTCACAGAAATGAGAAAAGTCACTGAATAGCAACGAATTCAAATCCGGAAAGCGTTTTAAAAATTGTCTGGGAATAACTATTCGAAAAACACGCGAGTCCCGCGTGATGACAAGAATACGCGGTAGGTGTCGTTTATGGGAGACGCCAGCCTTGGCAACGGGGCGCGAATTTCAAACACTGTTTCAGACTTTGCTTGAACAGCCTCCTTTTCCCCGGGAACCGGGTGTTGTTTCGCTGCTTTTACGACCATTTTGTGACTTCCCCTGGTCTGCAAACCCCGACGGTTTCATCCGTGATTGCATTAATTTCAACCTCGCCTGATTAAATAAGTGGAGCTCGGCGTTTATTTGCTTCGGTCCGTGCTGCTGCGCCGCGTTCGGAATTAAACTTGCATCTCCTGCCCACATAAAACCGCTTCTAACATTGTTCTGCGTCATCAGAGTTTCCCTACACGTGTGTTTTGCCTGAAGCTCAGAGGGTTGTTTATTTGAGGAAAAGAAGCACAGGCATTAGCCTTTCGAATGTCAATCCAAAATCATACTTCTTATACAGGTGGTACAATACCTTGAAATTCAACCCTAATCTGTTGCTGGACTAGGGTCAAATTTCAAGGCAGTCAAATTGCGAGACACTTGGCAAAATTAAGAAATAGAAGCACAAAAATGCAAAAAAAAAGTGGCCAAAGCAGGTTGATTTCTGGGGCAGAGGTTCAATTGCAAGTCAACATCCATGCAAATTTGACTGAAAAATTGCAGGATGGTTGAATTGCAGGAGGTCAAATTTTGAGGTAACACCTATACCAATAATGTCATTGTTCATTGGGACCGTGAGCTTCAATTTTTCTAATTAATGCTTCCATTGAGCAGAAGAAAAGAGCAGATTTTCAAATGTTTTTTTATTCTATGCTGTAGTTTAAAAATCATGGCTGCTTGATGTGAGATGATAAATTCTTGGAACAATGAAAACATGGAAACAACAGATCCAAACATTTCAATCATTGCAGTATTCAATTACAGTATTGTCTAATGTCTGCCAAAACTCTTGAAACCTATCAGCTGCTAAATTACTTAAATTTTCATTAATCTGGAGATTCTTTTTGATAGAACTCTCAATATATTTTGAGAACCTTTACAAAAGTGTTCTAAAGATTAAACTTCCAGGGTTTTCAGTTCAATTAAAAATATGTCTGCCATACAATTTAGTAAATAGAAGGTAGACAAAAAAGGCCAAGACCAAGTCTAAAGTTTTGGTGCCATGTTTCAGCTCAATTGCTGGTAATGAAATCAACCATGCATTTTTGCATGCAGTTAATTTCTGAATACAGTAAAATCTTGTTACAACAAACTACTGATGGGGATTTCAGAAAAAGTTTGTTATAATTTGTTATAAGGATATTTTCTATAGTAATGACTGGGAATGTTGTTTCAAATTAAACTTGCAAATGCAGGTGGACTCCACCTCTCTCTATAATCAAATCAAAGGGACCAAAAAATTTTTAGTAAAGAGAATTTTGTTGTAAAAAAAACTCTAATACAATGGGATAGAACCCTATGATGGGACCAGAAATAAATACAGTATATTATACATATATATATATAATCAATGTAGACAACATTGTTGTAGGGAGAGTCCACCTGTATACAAGATTCAAAGGGATTCTATCTAAAAAGAAATTCAAGGAACCAGAAAAATTTTTTTTAGAGATAATGTCATTTTATAGAACACTTTTAAAATGGGGAGAAGCCCCTGAAGGACAAAAAAATCGTTATACAGATAAATTCGTTGTGAAAGTTCATCTGTATTGCAATTTTTGTCATTCAGATTTTTTTTCTGTGTCTGAAAAACTGTGATCTTCTAAAAGATGCAAATGGAAATTATGAATTTTCCATACTTTCTTTGCCAGATCATATGCAGTATTTCTGATTGCCAAAATGAGTAGAATTAATAAAGTGGTCATTTTCTTGCATGGCTGGATATTCCCTGTGCCCAGTTTTTTTTATGATTTTAGAGTGTTTTATTGCTTGCGTGCTTGTTGGTTGTGTTTGACATATCTGTGCCTGGTCTATGATAGATGACATTAGGAAAAAGTACCACAACTTTTCAATTTATTTTTCTTATAAGTTCAAATTCTAGAAGTGGCATTTGAAGGCGTGTCTCGGAGTTCTCGGGATAATGCACGGGTAAAGTTTGCTGACCTGCGGGAAGTGTGAAACAAAGTTTCGCTCGGGGCGACAACTTTTAAACGAGGTTTTTTGTCGAGGAAAGGCGCGAAATTTCATGTCATTTCCCGCTCCCAGAAAATCCATAAAAGATCAAATATTTGCTGAACCAGGGGCGAGAATTATGCAAAAAAGGGCGGCCTGGAAATTCGCGCACGGCGTCTCACTCACCTTGCAGGCCCAGGAAGGGCCTGGGGACCCAGGGACTGCAGAACATCGGGCCAGCAGCAGGGAATACGGAATAAGCAGCCAGGGGATGCAGACCCCCGAGGGGTGAAAAGCTGGGGGTCATCAAGACCTGTCCATCAGCCGGCTTTTGCTCTTCTGCAAATGAGACACCATTTTTTTTCCAGCACAATCAGTGAAAAATCCTCATCTGTCACGAATGTCTCGAAGGAAGGATCAGCCTTTCTATAATTCAAGAAAATAAGAAGAAAGGGGTTCGGACGATGGACAATAACCCTCATCGGGTTCAAACCCAAGATCCCTTTTGAAGATCAACTGCATACAGTCTGGCAACCCCTGAAAAATCTCCCTAGACCATCTAAAGTCATTCATTAAATAAAACCTGTTTCTGTATACATGACCGATTAGACCACAGAAATAGAGTTGATTTTAAAAAAGCAGATAAAATTCAAAATAATTAAAAAGCTATAAATTCAAACGAAATTAAGACGGGGAAAATGGGATTTCAACAACTTTGCGAGAGGGGAACATCATTTAAATTCAGAACTTTTCATCCGCTCTACGAAGTACAAATTGAATGTCTTCAAAGCAAAATCGGAACAAAAATGACTGTTTGAAAATGTTTCATATAGTGAAACAAGAAGCAAAATCGGTCAAACAAATTAAATAAACAAAAAACTACTCAAAAGAATGAAGTCAAGTCGTTCTCCCATACGAGTTTTTTCTTTAAAAGGGTGCAGCGAGATGACAGCCTGAAATCTGGAATCAAATTCATCTTCTTTTGAAAAGTACAGTGAGACCCCAAGATGTGGACGTAATTGGTGCATCAAGAGTGTCCCTAAGTTGAAATGTCCCCAAGTTGAGTCTCATTTTCCCATAGACTTACATTATATGATTTTTAATTGGTGTTTTATGTACAAAATACTCATCATAATTCCATGAAAATAAAAATTGTCTGCCAATTGAAACTGATTCCAATCAATATATTTCAACACAATATTGACATTCGGGGAATTGAATTCTGAAATATCTGTTAAGTACATTGAAATGTTGGCATTCTCTAGCTGTAAAAATAAAATTTAAGTGAAAAAGAGCGAAGGAAGTCCCTCTATGCTGGAAGTAATTTTTTAAATTAGCTAACTGGATGATACATTGATAAGAGAAATTCCAAAGAACTTTTCCTACATCAATTTTAGGGTTGGAAATATCTGTTTCTTGTAACTTGGCCTGAAATGTATTTGCAATTTCATCACAAAATGTCCCTATGTATAGTCAGTGTCCTCATTTCGGGCCTTTTTGGGTAATTTTTTATTAGAAAATAAGTGTATATATGTCGAATTGTCCACAGGTCGAGGCGTCCGCATGTGGGGGTCTCACTGCAGATAATTACAGTAATTCAGACGAAAGAATGAAACAAGAAGAGATTCAAAACTATTTCGGATGTGGAAATTCACTCAAACGCAAAACAGACGACGGCTAAATGACATTTTCAAGCGAAAAACTTACATCATCTTTTTTCTGGCAGGAAAAAACTTCTATATAACTCTCGTCAAAAACGAATTGAAATGGAATCAACTTCACTGCAATTAAGAGAAACATTTTCAAAACAAAAGTACAGAAAAACTTGAGTTTCAACTCCATTCAATCTTGAACGTACCGATGACATTGAGTAAAGCCCGGCGGGTACAGAGATGAACAGTTTTCAAAATGAATTGAAGATATTGTGGTAATTTTGGTAACATAATAATGATTTTTCCAACTAGACATTTTAAAATGACAAACTGAGACAATACTTTCACAGATATTGAGACGGTTTCTAGGTTTATAACCCCTTTTTCAAATGAAGACCAACAAAAGACTTAGAATAGCAATAGTTCCGCGTGAATTTCTTGCTATTTTTCTGCAAAATAAAACCAGCGGATATCTGATTTGCTGACTGATGGAAGCTTATTTTTGAATCGCTAATTTTTGGTTCAGAAAATTAGTGTTATATTGTTTTCCTTCATCATGAGACAGAAACAGCCAAACCAACTTTCAATTGTTCACGTCAAGACAACAGCATTAAATATGTTAACGCATGCATTTAATGACAAAAAGTAATCCAGAATTGCGAAATTTTTAGTAAATTCATAGGCTCTAATGCACCAATCTCTTGACTTCAGAAAGATTACAAAAATTCCGAAAGCCCCTTGTTCTTATACCTTTCTGATGAATTTGGAAATGATTTTGAATTTGTAAATTGGGAAATGATTTTTCTATCGGAAAATCTACATTTTTGTCTCGGTTACAAGTGGTGCAATCAATTATATATATGACGTTTCATTTATAAAGGTTTCGTCAGTCCGTTCTTGTTTCGATTTTTTCACAATTCATTTTTTCAAAAAGAGAAACCGATAAGAATAAGAACTGCATTAATGGAAGGATGTGAATTACCGCTTCTTGCTTCGTTTCAAGGATAATTACCCTTGCGAAGTACTCTACTGTACTTGATTTCAATCTCATGTATGTGAACTTTTTTTAATTTTAAGCCACGCAATATTTTAATTCTTCGCTTATTGATAAAAACTTGGTTCAACTTTCTTCCCGCGTTCATCTTTCATATGGTCAGGAATCATAGTTTTGCAATTTAGTTTTGCCCGAAAGATTTTCTCAGGGGTACCTATATGAACTGTTGTCAATTTATCCGAAAAAAGGCTGGGTATACTTGGCGTACCTTTTCGGTAAGAAGGCAAAAAAAAGCATCACGCAAATAATGTACTGTGCATAAATCCTCGCAACTCTCGGGAAAAAAAAAAAGTTGTTTGGACTGACCTGGATCGGAATCTTCGTCAGATTCTTGGGGTTCTTTCGAAGGACCAGGAGTGGCTTTGTCTAGGATCTTTTCGATTGAGAAAGTGGAATTATTTGCCATTTCAAGCGTGAAGGAGGCACTGCACTGGGTTGAACCTGGGGAGAGACTAACTGCTCAAGACAACCTTGTTTGGTTTTGGTTTTCCGCTGCATGGGGGAGACAAAAATCTCCTTTCCTTCCCGTTTTCTCCTCCTCGATGCATTCTTTCTTTGCAAGTACTCACTGAATCTGCATCAAAATGTTAATTCCGGAAAAATCGAAAATCGAGTCTTTGCTGGTCATATTTCTGTGAGCTGATGAGCATTCGGAGTCTGATGATGTATAATTTCCGATTATCGTAGAACCCTAATTATTTGTTTTAATAACGAGGTGTTTTCTCTCGGATAGAAGAATATTCTGTGCAATGGAACAAATAAGCAAAAAGATGCTCAAAGATTTAAAAATGCTTCTGATCCCGTATACAGACATCATCAATTACTGATACTGCGCATTATAAAAAATTTAAAAAGCATCAGGTCATAGAGTAAATTGAGCTTATGGTATTCCAATTAATGAAATGCCGTTTTTATTTTTACTGGAGGCTGATCTTCATGTTAAAGTTCCAGTAACAACAATAGAAATCTTTAAAAAAGTTTTTATTTTAAGTTGGAAATACATTGGGTCCCTGCATGTATAAAAGAAAATAACCTATACATATATGCTTGAATTTTCTCATGCAGAATATGATTTCCCTCATGAAATAATTTTTAAAATGTGAATCCCTTCCCAACACTCAGAAAATCAAAACATAAAAACCCTAAAATCTGTATATTTTAGCAAGTTTTCAGCATGACATTTTAAGTTTAAAATCGATGTGTAGGATCAGTTTGTGCATTCAGAGTTAATCGGCACAAATTTATTTTAGTTTAAAGTTGATTACTTGAAAATGTATTCGTCTGAAAGTTTCAAGCTTTTAGCTTTTGAGAATTCAAATTTTTTTTCGGGTAGAGAGGGTAAAATTCTTCTAATCAATTATCTTTCATTAATTGTCTTGAAAAATTCAATTTCTTCTCCCAAAATACCTTAAACTTCAATGATTCTATTAAATTGTTTGTTGTGTAAAAGAAACCTCTTGTGTGAATTGACCCCCCCCCCCCCCCCAAATGTTGCCTGCTGAAAAGTTTGTTTCATGGGTTTTTGTTGAGCATTACCCAGGGACCCACTGTACTTTACAATAATATACTGCGTATTTTTGTTCAAGTAATTTAAGGATGTGTGCTGGAAACTCATTTTTCATCTAAAAAATAATAATAAAATGTTGTATAATTTATTCACCCAAGCATTCTTCGTTTTGATATCAGCGATATCTTGTACATATGACTCGCAATAATTCAACCCAACCCAACATATTCCCTTCAATAAGAACCTCTCATCGATTTTAGACAAGTCTTGCTGAAGACGCGTCTTAATTAAAAATGTACTGATGATCCGCTGATTGAAAATCAAATGATCGAGTTCATCTTAAACCCATTGTTGATAGAATCTCGCACATATTCAAAACAATAAGAGTTTCCTTTTTTCACGTCAGCATAAAATATTTTGACGGGAAAAAATATAATACGGATGCACTTTCTTTGAAATTCTTGGAACAGTGTTTCCACTGAACCTGATGGATTCAGCGCCGAGGAAAATGTAGACCAGTCCCGAAAACAGCGGAATACTTGGTGCACCTCGGCTGACCAGGATTGGTCACTAACCCTGGCAAAGGGGGACCAATGAAAAGTGCTCAGAGATTGCTCGACTCAGTACTTCGCACAGTACTCCAACAGCCATTAAACCCGCAAGCAAATACCCGAGGCGCGAGTGCCGCACTCTTCTTCGAGTGATCACCTTTTCTCAATTACCCTGTTTCTTTACACGCCATATGTACGAAACATCGATGATTTTTAACCACTGATGCCGAATAAAGCATTCGCAAGAAATACAACATTTCTGACGAATAAGTCTCAATGATCCTGCGTAAAATTAAAATTCAGTCACGAGGAAAAGATTGCTGCTGAAGCTGTAAATTGTGAATTGCGCCACGAGTTGGAGAAGTATATAAACAACGCAGTACGATGACATAAAACCCTGTCCTGAGATGCGTATTAAAATATGTCGTACAACACATTTCAGGATTCGCAATGCTGAGCTGGTTTATTCCCAAAGAAACACTTTTCATACGTAATTCAGCGGTTTTCCTGGCGCGGGAATGAAAACAAAGGCATCGTGATCTGAAATTTAAAGACCATAAAAGCATATTTTTTTCCGCGGTATAAGCTGACAAAGTTTACTATCTGAATCCCGATGAACTTGAGTCGCTGCCATCACTGCTGCCACCTTTAATAGAAAATAAAATGCGTGAAATTCGTTTGACATTTCTTGAAAGCTCACAAGCACTTGTAATTTTACCGTGTCCGTGCTTTTTGTGTCCGTATTTAGAATGTTTTCCGAAGCCTCCCTTCTTGTTGCCCTTGTGGGATTCGTGACTGCCTGATTTGTGGTGTGACTTCTTCCCACCGTGTTTCCCCGAGTGTCCCCCCTGTATGGAAAAATAAATTAAAGGGAATGCAATAATTACCTGATTTTAGCGTCAACGGGATTAGGCCTGAATGTTTTACTTGGTGGTGCGAGGATTTGTGCGATTGTCCTTTTTTGCCAGCTTTGTGTCTCCGGCCCGAGTGTCCGTGTTTGAAGTGTTTGTTCTTCTTGCTGACGTCGAAGTACTTGGTTGTTTCACCGGATTCCTGCTTATTGTAGTGTTTCTTGAAACCCTGCGCAGGAAATCAGCTTCATTTTTTCAGCCAGCATTTAGCAAAATGAATCAGCTGGCTTGCATAAAAATAAATATACATACAGGCTTTTGATGGTTATTCAAGTTAGCAATGCTGGTCCAAAACACATTTACCATATTTACTTGACTTTATATATAAGTTGAACCTCTCCAAGTCAAATTTCTAGGGACCAGAAAAAAAATTTGACTTAGGGAGGTTTTGACTTGGGGAGGTTTACATTTTTTGAGATTTGGGGTAAAGGAAACAAATATTTTTTTCTACAAGGAAAATGGGGAATTGTAGATGAGGGTATTCTGGGCCTAAGCTTGCTTCTCAATGAGTTTAAAGCTTGCTTAACTTGTAGACAGGGGTTCATTTGTTCAATTAGTCCTTCACTTTATTTCAAAATGCATAAAATAATTTATTTTGTTGATTTTATCTTTCATATTTCAAGGAAATAATAACCAAAGGGCATTAGAAAATTTGACTTACAGAGGTTTGGGAGAAAAAAATTTCGAGTGAGGGAGGTTTTTATTACATTGTTTCTATGGGAATCCGGACAGGGACTTTTAAAAAATTTGAGTTAGGGAGGAATTTGACTTAGGGAGGTTTGACTTAGCGAGGTTCACCAATTAAGTAAAGTTGAAGAGTTGAACTCAGAGGGGGCCATGAAATGAACAATACTTCAAGAGTTTTTGAATTGAGGAAACGACGTGAAGAGGCCTACCTCCCCCTACTTACTGTATGTACTAACCAGTAAAGGACCCGTCTTGTAAAGAAAAGTGTATAACAACTTGAAATTTCGTTCGGGGCGTGTTACCTGGAGGGTGTGTTGTCATTTTCGCGCAACAGACTGCCTCTGGACTGGAGGCAGTTTTTCCTCCTGTGCAATGAACTAAATCCACCTAACACACTTCTGTTGGTTTAAATTTAATTGTATATAGTACAAATGTTAATTTTTTAGTAATTGAATTTGCATACCAGACTTTTCACACAAAAAACTAGCCTGTTGCACAGATTAAGTCTGTTATGCACAGGGGTTGACTGTACGCCCAATTATTCACTCACTTCCTTTGAATTAGCAATAACAAGTTACATTTTTATCGATCATATCCTTCCTTGGTCCCTATAGTATAAGCCCAAAGGTGAAAATTCCAGTTGAACATTGCTGAGGGCAAAATACTTTGAGTTGGGGATATGTATAAAATTTTTCTTATGGGAACAATCACAGACAGCAAAAACTAAATACAAATTTCACATCAGCAGGACGGTTTTGATGGATATTCAAGTTAGCAATGGTCCAAAAAATATTTACCATATTTACTCAAGAACAATGCGCCCTTAAGAGTGAGACACACTCACCAGCTGGTTTTCTTATCCTAAAATTTACTATTCTTGTATAGGACCTCACTTGGGGGGAGAAAACACTCTTTTTTAAATTACCGGATGTTTTAAAAAGAGTCAGCAGGTCGTCACATTACTAAATAAAATCGGGGTATCCCAATAAGAGAGGGGTTATCACCGTCCTAGGGGTTTTCTAAAACATAATTCTGTCTACAACAATAATTTTTCTGGTTCCCTTATTAAATTTAATGGTATAGACACTATATAGAGAGTCCACATATTTTTTCACTAAAAACACATCAGAATTGATATTTTTAAATTACGCCTGAATTGAATGATAATTTTACTTTTTTTTTGCTTTAAACAAATTCTTGAAACTGGTCAAGCAATTTTTGCTAGAATCATGTATGATGCACATAAACGATGAAGATTTTAAAACCTTGAAAATTCTGATACTGCAGCCAAATGTATCTCTTCATTTTCTTTAATCCTTCCATTATATCTCGATGAGCGTCTTACGATCACTCAGCATTATCAAGACCTTAAGGCGGATTCGTGGTTTTATGCTATTTATCTACAATTGGAAACTTGTTTAATGCTAAAAGACGGTCCGTTACTTCAAAGTACACAGTACGTCTGTGTGTAAAATGTTTATTTAGGTGCACCACCTTTGTTTTGTGTCCAGAATCATGGAATCCAGATGCCCCCTTCTTGTGGTGCTTCTTCTTGGCATGTCCCTTCACAGACGATCCAGATTTCTTGCCAGCATCGTGATGACCTGAATGGTAGCCCCCATGTTTGGTAGAATATCCCTGGGATCCATGTGTATCATGGCCGCCGTGTGCTGCCGCGTTGTGCCCGCTTTTGTAGTTGTGACCTCCTCCTTTCGCAAATGAGTATGCGTGACCTGAAACAGTTCGAGTT